TATATTAATGTCAGAACAACGAAGGCAATGATAGCCATCCACTTCTTCCGCTTCCAAAACGGTCTGTCTTCGTCGTCGTAGGGCGACGCAAAAGGCTTGTCTTTGTACATGGGGAGTCGATCCGACTTGTTGGATTTCTGGCCAGAACCCCAGAATCGATCCTCAAGCTCTCGTTGACGACTATCAAAGGATGGAACGGTTCGGGGCATAGAGAAGGCCATGGCTACTTCATCGGCCTCGGCCCGCGACGGCGCAGGAATGTTTCGAGATTGCGGGCGTCCAAAGGTGCTTGTGGTTCGGTGGATGTTGAACGGATCTCGAATCATTGACTTGGTGTTTTCATTTCTAGGTGGGACTAGCCAGTAGAGCGAGAGCAAATGACTCGAAAAGACGCTAGAATTCACAGTGTAAGACAGGACAAGAACTATTATGTACAGGTCGCAAGCAAGGAAGCAGTTGACAAAGAAAGTGGCAACAAAAGTCTCAAGCTTGAGACTGAACTACCAGAACCAATAAAGGACAGAAATACAGACAGAACCGAAATCAGGAGCTTGGGGTAGCTTTTACCTTTACCGGCACGCGACCAGGGGTTATACAAAAGGTGTCGTTTGCGATTGCGACACCGACTCTCGGTCAAGTTTAGCGCCCTGGCCCGAGCACTCGGACCCAGCGATTCCGTTTCCTTTTTATAAGGTATTGCGAAACCAAGTCGTTACAACTTGAATCACAGCCTATTGTACGGATATAGGTAGGTAATTTATGGCAGAATTTGAATAATGGTGTCGTCGCATGAGCTGCCATCGGTCGAATCATATGTTATTTATGAGTTGCTTTGGGAGAGAAAAAGTAATCCTGGTTGATGATGTGAAAGTGTTTCCTTTTTTTATGTGGCATCAAGTATAACTCTAACCTTTTGACGCTTTACCTGGACCTTGGGTAGTCGCTAGAAACAAATAAGGAGGGTAGCTTAACAAATCAAAGCTCAGATAAATGTTATATCCAACCCAAATATAGTCCTGTCAAACAATCATGTTGTGCTAGATCGAAGCACTAAAATTACCAGCAGCTCAGGTACGTGGACCCTTCGTACCTAAAATCACAGCACGTGGAAGCGATACCCAACTCAAATCACAACTTCACAGATACTAAAACTCTCCAGACCTCGACCACAATATTCCAGTCGGAATGAGTATTGAAAACTTCCCTTGTCTGACCGCGGAAGAGTTCTCAGAAGCATGTCATCATCTTGACAGACAATACTGCCAAGCGTCTTTGGGCCCCCAACGAGCACTGTGGAAACTGAGGCTCTGCAATGCTCTTTGCACAGACTTCGCCTATGGTGCGGGTTTCACAACGTATATTCAAATCAGGCGGCCTCTCGAGTTTGATCTGGATCATGGAGATCTTTCACTAGGTTTGGATGGATTTTCCTTCTCAGACGACAAAACGGATGTACCAATAGAAGGGGACAAGGATATGTTAGATGCTGAAGAAGCAGACGAGGTAACCTGTCTTCAATATAATACCTTCCAAATGTTGAAACTTGTCTTACAAATCACGGCAGGCCGCTCTAATCAGACAACGGACTCGCCCAGAAGTTGCCATGGTGGAGTATGAAATTCACCTTCACCCCACGTATCGTGTACCATGTCTATGGTTCAATCTACGCAACCTACCTGCCGATGAGCCAGCATTCGACATTGACACCGTCTTTCGCCGCCTTGTACCAGACGAGTACAAGGCCGGGCTTCGAGCACTGGGCAATGTAGGCGGTATATCGGCCGATGTACGTTTTCTGGGGAGAGCTGTTTGCACAAGTCAATTTCAATATTCTGGGTATCGTCAAGATTGGTCGGCCTAACTAACGTCTTGCTCATAGCACCACCCTATCACGGGCGTCCCATCCTTCTTTATCCACCCCTGCTTGCTGGGAGACGCAATTTCCAAATTCGAGTGCGACAGGACCAACTATCTCATGATATGGCTGGGACTTGTCGGAGGTTGCCTAGGGCTATGGGTCCCTAAAGAAATGGCAATGTAGTAGCGTATCGTTTGCGTCTCTCAGAAATGTCGCCGACCTTCATGGATTCCTTCTTGTTCATCAATCATCGTCACTGTCCTCCTCCATGGCAACATCCGAATCACTGTCCTCATCGTCACGGGTTCGCTTCTGTCCTCGGCCACCTGGTGTATCTGTGTCTTCCATGACGTAGTCCGCGTTCGCAGCGGGCTTCGCAGGAAGACCAGAGCCGGGCGTCGGTGCCAGCGCTGAACCGGGAGGGGGAGCGTTGAAGATGCTCTGTTGTAGTTCGGTCTGCTCGACGTTGGCGGCACCTGCAGCATTAGGGATCTTGAAAGTGCCGTCGAGTTTAGCCACAAAATTGGACTTGGACTTCGCATATTGTATTTTCTAGCAAACGAGTTAGACTGATTCCACCACCATCACGGAAAGGTTCCACTTACCAAGTCGCGACCAAGGAATGCTTGTCCCTCGAGAGATCGCATAGCTTGTGTAGCAGACTGAACGTCCCGAAATACGACATGGGCCTGACCGCGCATCTTCATTGTCTTAAGAGCGACAACATCGAGGACAGGGCCATATGTGGAGAAGAGGAGGTAGAGGGCGGCTCGCAAGTCGGCTTTCTGGATTTTCGAGGAGGGGAGATTCGTTACGTAAAGACTAAAAGATCAGCACGGCTTATGAAGGAGAAGAGCAGTGAAAGACTCACGTTTGATTAGGAGGAATAGGCTGAACCTTGGCTGGTAAAGATGCGTTTGGCTGAAGACCACGAGGCGCGTTTGCTACAGCGGCCATTGTGATAGTTGAACAGACGCCGGCGGTTCTATGTTGATAAACGATATGTCGCAATCGAAAGTTCAGTGCTTTTCCAGTGCTGCTTATACCAAGACTATGGTATTGATGACGGGTGCAATTGGATTCCAAGATATCGATGTTCGGCGGTGTTGATGGATTGGAGATTTTTCGCCGAGCCTAGAATTGCCAGCCTCGCACTACAAGACAAGCACAGCCGCTGTGGCCCAAGCTTAACTAAGGTATTCTACCATCCACTGGCTGGAGCTTCAGCACTACGTAACCCCCCACCCCCACCGCCAGCTTGGAGCCTACTTAGACATCCATCGTCAGCACCCAACTCAACACGGCCTTTCTTGCTCGAAAACTCTCAATTAACTTCAAAGCGATAGTAGAGAGCTACTCCTATCGCAAATTATATCAGCATGGCCGCCCCCGAAGTCCACCACCTCTTCCACCACCCCATCGCCGATCACTCCTTCTCGGCCGATCACTCCGTCCTCGCTGTCGCTCGAGACACTGCTGTCGAGCTCTATGGCAAGGTTGGCAATGCCTTCAAGCTGAAAGATGAGCTCAAGGGCCACGACAAGACGGTCACTAGTGTCGATATTGCCCCAGACAGCGGACGTATCGTTACTTGCTCTCAAGGTTAGTCTGCGTGGAGTTGCCCCTATGTCGTGTCTCGTTCAGCACCTTACATGATAACCAGATCGTAACGCTCTGGTCTGGGAGCCATCCCCAACCGGTTATAAGCCTACTTTGGTCCTTCTTCGAATCAGCCGGGCTGCTACCTTTGTCCGATGGTCTCCCTCTGAGAACAAGTTTGCCGTCGGATCCGGCGATCGCGTCATTGCCGTCTGCTACTTCGAGGAGGAGAACGACTGGTGGGTGTCTAAGCACCTGAAGAAGCCCATTCGCAGCACCATTACCAGCGTTGCTTGGCATCCCAACTCTGTTCTCCTGGCTGCTGGGTCCACTGATGCTCACGCCAGAGTCTTCTCCGCCTTCATCAAGGGTATGGACTCCCGACCTGCTCCTGGAGTCTGGGGCGAGCGACTCCCTTTCAACACCGTTTGTGGAGAGTACTTGAACAACTCGGCTGGATGGGTACACGCTGTCTCTTTCTCTCCAAGCGGAGACAGTCTTGCATTCGCGGCGCATGATAGTAGCATCACTGTTGTTTACCCGTCCGGCCCTGAGCAGCCTCCCCGTGCAGTTGTCACCGTCTCCACTCAGCAGCTTCCTTTCAAGAGTCTGATCTGGACCAGCGAAGATGAGATCATTGCTGCTGGTTACGACTGTGAGGCGTTCCGCTTCCAAGGTGGTGAGGCTGGCTGGCAGCTAGCTGGTGCTATTGAGCAGAAGGCCCGTCCTGGTCTGGGCGAGCACCGCGAGGAATCTGCTTTGAACATGTTCAGACAAATGGATCTCAAGGGCAAGACCAAGGATGACACTCAACTTAAGACTATCCATCAAAATACCATCAGCACCGTCAGGCCTTTTGAAACCTCCGGTGACCGCGTTACCAAATTCAGCAGTAAGTACAATGTCGTACCTATAAGTTGCGTAAACTGACACAGATTGTAGCAAGCGGCGTCGATGGTAGAGTTGTCGTATGGAGCACTTAGATAGTTTGAATAGACAATATACTGCAGCTAGAAAACGGGCAGACTCTACGGTAAATTGCCGTTGCTCTACGAACTTCATACCTCCCACAGACACCACTGGCTTTGATTTATATCGGGCGTTGTAGTACTTTATGTAGTGTGTATACTTAGAAGGGAGTCTCTTTGTAAAGCCTTGGTGACTTCTCGATCCTTGCCCCTCACAAGATAGATCTTCACTGGTTCCTTAGGCATCCAACGACTCAGGCATTGACTAGGCCTCACAAGACACACCGTCTGTTTGCTTCAGAACTTATAGCCTCAGTAATGCCAGGCTAGTTATAACGATAATTCTTCATGGCACTCGTCTCTGATATAAGTCAAGTGGGTAGCAATAAACTTTCTTCGCAATATCCGTCAGAATTCGGTAGTAATCCTCCCACAGAGGCTGTTATGATGGTTTGTGGCAATAGGACTACGTTATCCCCGACGACTCACGATTCTCACCAATTTCGAAGTAATGTAGAGTTGTTTTTATCGAGTCCTATTTTGTCGTGCGCCTTGGCTTTGCCTAGATTTTGCCTCTATGGAAGAGCAATGACCTCAATCTCCACATCAACGTTCTTGGGGAGAGTCTTGACAGCTACACAACTGCGGGCAGGCTTGTGCGAAAACCACTTCTCGTACTCAGAGTTGATTTCCTAGAAGCTGTCAGTAACTGAGTAGAATATTGGCCTTGCTGGGGCACTGACAGCAAAGTAGGACATGTCAGAGATGAAGACTGTAGTCTTGACCACCTTGGAAATAGTCGAGCCTGCCGCCTCAACAACAGCCTGGACATTCTTGCAGGCCTGGCGGGTCTGCTCAGTGATACCTTGGACCATCTCACCCTCGGGAGTAAGAGGAATCTGGCCAGAGCAATAGATCATGTTGGGGGTCTTGATGGCTTGAGACTGGTTTGACATATCATGAGTGTTGACCTTGTCAGTGAGGGGTAGTTGAACATACGTAAGGGCCAAGGGCTTCGATACTGTCAGTAAAGGTTTACCAGAGATTGAATCCATACAACTTACCCGCAGGGGCGTCCTTGGTGAAAATGATCTGCTGGTCGGAAGACATTGTCGATTGGTGTCTGGCTGAAAGTGTGAACTTGGCTGGCGCTACGATATACTGGCGGGGAGTTGTTCGGATGGAAGAGGTGATGCAGCGTGAAGCTCTGCGCGCAATGGGAGAAAATGACATGGCAGAAAAAGGCTGACAATTGTAATTACCGACGTACCTAGAGTAAGAGAATGATCGAATTGGAGTCTCAGAGCTGAGGTTTTGTTGAGTTAGTTCCCAAGGGGTTCAAGTAAGCTTTGGTTGCTGTGTTTTGAACGAGAGCCCCGGAGGTTCGGTGAGTACTCGGAGGGGTAAACCGAAGCTAGCCAATGGAAAGCACCTTGAGAGAATGGATTAGACTTGGTTGTATCTGGTCAATTGCTACAGGTGCATGAAATCAGTTAATTTACTGCTGCTGAGCTCCGTTGATCGGCTAACTTGTGGTGGCCTCTCCGGGCCGCCCCGCATTGCGCCCTCCGGAGACGGCGGCCGAGGAGCGTTTGGAAGAGCTCTGAGCATGAGTTTCCTCTTGGGAGCTCTGTTACTATAACTATGGCAGTATGTCATTCAGGAGGTTAAAGTCAAGAGAGCAACGTGGTGCTGTCTCGTCTTTCCTGTTTGGTTATTAACATGAAGCCATGGCGTCTAAATGTTAACTAGACGTGTTGCACATATCGCAGTGTTTGTTCAGGAGCTCAATAGAAATGTAGTGGCACACAGACATATAGTTCAATGCTGAATAAAAGGTATCTTTATTGATGCTCTATTCAACACCAGAAGAAGAATAGTTGGATGTTTGTTGCAAACGCAGCTTCATTTGTCTCTTTGTGCTTTGCCACCAACTCGAGTTTCAGCGTGACCAACAACGACAGCAATCAAACAGTCTGCGAGAAAGTTAGTACTCCACTTGTGAAAAATCTATGATGTCCGAAGCATTTGTGTTCAATTGAAAATCGGGGTTGGCGGTCAAACATTGATCGCTAGACACAATCCAATCGACCACCGTAGGCTTTCAGCCCTGTTGCTGAGCATCTCCAAAACCGGCATCATCAGCAAAGCTTGGTCGAAGTCAGAGTCCCTCTCCCACTGAAGCTAAAACACGACGGGACCCAATTGGTTCCCATAGCTCCTTATTTGACTCCCCTTGAGAACATCCAACTGTTAGCAGCTTCAGCTGTCAAGTGGCTGAGAGCTAACACAAGTGGGGTCTTACCCCTGCGTCCATCCCGTCTAGCCCAGGCTCCTCCAGTGACAGGGGTAAAAAAAGGCAAGCTGGCCAGGTTGTCCTCGACGCCAGAAGCATCAACTTGATCCCATAACTTTCGACCACAGGGAGGTTTCTCTTTTTAATCCATCGCCCCTTTTTCTTTCATTTCTTTTTATTCTTGTGAAACTTCTCGATTGAGGTGGTAATTGCTTCTAGTAGCTACCTCTACTTGCTCTTCTATCGCTCCTTTGTTAACCTATTTCTTGTTCTCTTCTACGAATCGCTTGGTGTAACCAGGGCACTATTATCTAACCCCTGAGGTAAGCCTGAGACCTGCGGTTCCTCTGAATCGTTTGTGAGACGTGGTTGTTTCTCTGCATATTTCATGCCATTTTCCTTTCTTATACATACGTCTATAAGGCCTTGAACTGATTGTCGCATCTGTAGCTTACGGCCATCTTCAATCATGGCTCGAAGCTCCACGCCGCAGGGCAGCCTGCGACAGAGGGGCGCACCATCAAAGAAGCTCTCCGAAGAAGATTCTTTCGATCCTAATATTGAGCTTGACAAGCTTGCCAAGGCTGGCGCTCAGCGAGCCGCTGCGCAGAGCGAGACCGAGTACAAGATGGGCCTTTTCCTCGTCACTATCTTGTCCTTCGTTACTCGATTCTGGGGCATCAGCCATCCGAACGAGGTTGTCTTTGACGAGGTGCACTTTGGAAAGGTAAGCACGACTGGATTCACCAGTATTCGACGCTATAGCTAACCATTGCTTGATAGTTCGCCTCATACTACCTCGAGCGAACCTACTTTTTCGACGTCCACCCTCCCTTTGGCAAGCTTCTCTTCGCCTTTGTCGGCTGGCTCGTTGGCTACGATGGTAACTTCCACTTCGAGAACATCGGCGACTCCTACATTGCGAATAAAGTTCCTTATGTCGCGTACCGAGCTCTCCCTGCTACTCTAGGTGCTTTGACTGTCTCGGTCACATATCTCATCATGTGGGAATCTGGCTACAGTCTTCCCGCTTGCATCCTCGCCGCTGGTCTTGTCCTCCTCGACAATGCCCACATCGGTCAGACCCGACTCATCCTCCTAGATGCGACTTTGGTCCTCGCCATGGCCTGCAGTCTCCTCTTCTACATCAAGTGGTACAAGCTCCGACATGAGCCTTTCTCCCGAAAGTGGTGGAAGTGGCTCATCCTTACCGGATTCGCTCTTTCTTGCGATATCTCGGTCAAGTACGTTGGTGTATTTGCCTTCGTTACCATTGGCTCTGCCGTTGTCATCGACCTCTGGGACCTCCTCAACATCAACCGACCTGGTGGTGCCATCAGCCTGCAGGAATTTACTAAGCACTTCGCCGCTCGGGCTTTTGGTCTGATCATCATGCCTTTCTTGTTCTACCTCTTCTGGTTCCAGGTTCACTTCGCCGTTCTCTACCGATCCGGTCCTGGTGATGATTTCATGACTCCTGAATTCCAGGAGACCCTGAGCGACAACGTTATGCTGGCCAATTCGATCGACATTCAGTACTATGACCAGATCACAATTCGACACAAGGAGACCAAGACATACCTTCATAGTCACGAGGACCGTTACCCTCTCCGATACGATGATGGCCGTGTTTCGTCCCAGGGCCAGCAGATCACTGGTTACCCTTACAACGACACCAACAATTACTGGGAGATCCTGCCCGCCAACAACGATAAGCAGATGGGCCGCATTGTCAAGAACCACGAACTGGTTCGCCTTCGCCACGTTGGAACCGACAAGATTTTGCTCTCTCACGATGTCGCTTCTCCTTATTACCCCACCAACCAGGAATTCACTGCTGTTACTCCCGAGGAGGCTTTCGGCAAGCGTGAGAAGGACACGCTTTTCGAGGTCCGAATCGAACACGGCAAGAAGAACCAGAACTTCAAGACTGTTGCTGGCCACTTCAAGCTCATTCACAACCCAAGCAAGGTTGCCATGTGGACACACACTAAGCCTCTCCCTGAGTGGGGTTACAAGCAGCAGGAGATCAACGGTAACAAGCAGATTGCGCCCAGCTCCAACGTCTGGATCGCCGAGGACATTCCGTCTCTATCTGCTGATCACCCTCGTCGCCAGAAGCCTGAGCGCAAGGTCAAGTCTCTGCCCTTCCTCCAGAAGTGGTTCGAGCTCCAGCGCGCCATGTTCTACCATAACAGCAAGCTTACCAGTAGCCACCCTTATGCTAGCCACCCTTACCAGTGGCCTTTCCTGCTCCGTGGTGTGAGCTTCTGGACTCAGAGCGAGACGCGCCAGCAGATCTACTTCTTGGGCAACCCCATTGGCTGGTGGCTCGCTAGCAGTCTTCTCGCTGTTTATGCCGGTATTCTTCTCGCTGATCAGGTATCTCTGCGCCGTGGTATTGATGCTCTCGACCGCCGTAAGTCTCGCCGAAATACATGTTCAGAATTGATTCAATAACAAAATTTTAGGAACTCGATCGCGCCTGTATAACTCTACCGGTTTCTTCTTCCTTGCTTGGGCTACTCATTACTTCCCGTTCTTCCTCATGGGACGACAACTTTTCTTGCATCACTACCTTCCAGCTCATCTTGCTTCTTGCCTTGTTGCTGGCGCTCTTCTTGAGTTCATCTTCAACTCTGAAGCTCCCGAGGAGATCACTATCAAGGACAAGAAGGGACCTGTTAGCCCCAGGCACCATGTCACCGCTCGTGAGCGCTTCGCCGGCCAGAGCATGCTCGGTGCTTGGATTGCCTGTGGTGCTATTCTGTCTCTGATCATTGCTGGCTGGTACTTCTTCCTGCCTCTCACCTATGGTTACCCTGGTCTCTCCGTCGATGCCATTCTCCGAAGGAAGTGGCTAGGATATGACCTTCACTTTGCCAAATAGACGGTGATAGGGTCATTTGACCAATCTTTGAGTTTGAAGATTCTTGGGGCGACGAATTTCGAGTGGACATAGCACTGGCATTTTTTCCATGAGACTCGGGTTGAGTTAATGAAGGCGTCATGACACTCATCATGACAAGATTAGTTATGGGATATACCGGGTCGGCGGAGGTTGGACCATGAGTGCCAGACAAAACCAATCTCATGTATCTCTATATGATAAAATACGTAAAGGAGGATGTGCAACCTATTGAAAGCATAGAGAAATCAATCTGATATTTGTTTGAACATTCAGACGCCGTGCTCGACCATGACTTGCGTTTCTCAAGAATCAAATTGTTTGTAAGCTCAGTAGACTTTGGCAGGGAACTCCTGTGACGTGCTAGGACCTCACCGCCAAATCAACGGGCAATCATGATTATCACGGAGGTTATCGGGTGTCTGATCAAAGTGCTTCTATGCAGGAGATATGTCGTCGAAACAGAATTCTGCCGCACGCCCAGCTTCGGGGGAGAGCCAACTTTCCCCACTAAGGTAGAGTAGGCGGTCACTGAGCTAGCTCAAGGTAGCAATCGTTCAAGTTAGATGACTACACTTGTTGGGGGTCGCTACAGGTGCATGTACCTTACCTTAGGTCGACATCCATGAGCCAAGCAAGGGATGGATCCAATGTCAATTGTGCAGTTAACATTGTAACAACGATGATTATTTTTCTTCGCGGATGATATTCCATGTTCTTCCGCTAAATTGCGCAGAGGTTGCACCAATCTTACTAATTCCACTCTCTATGATGCTTTGCTGTCCTCACAACCGCGCATAAGGAATCATGGTCTCGCATACGAACCGCCTCTACCTGCGTCGCCTCCTACGCTCACGCTTCCCCAAGATAGTCTTCGTCCTCGTCGTCATATTCAACGTTCTCGATGTCCTTCGAATTCATAGAAACCTCCTCGATGCCGATCGTACTCCAGCCCCGAAGCTCTCGCAGCCGCCCGGGCGCATCTATATTGCAAGCATGCACTTCAACAACGAGCGCGTAATTAGAGATCACTGGAGTCCTGCGGTGATAGAACTTGCAAAGCTGTTCGGGCGAGAGAATGTCTTTGTTAGTGTGTATGAAAGCGGGAGCTGGGACAAGACTAAAAGGGAGCTGCATCACATGGATCAGGAGCTCGAGAGACTGGGAGTTCCCCATCGTGTGGAGATGTCGGATGTCACGCATAAAGATGAGATCGAGAATCCAATTAAGGAAGAAGGCTGGATCGACACACCTAGGGGGAAACGCGAGTTGAGAAGGATACCGTTTCTCGCAAAGTTGAGAAACAGGACGTTACAGGACTTGATAGACCTGTCCAAGAAGGGAGAGCATTTCGATAAGGTCCTCTTTCTCAACGATGTCGTCTTCACGGTACGTCAACTACTATTACAGGGTGGTCAGCAACATCTCACAAAGTTTACAGACAGACGATGTGCTCAAGCTCCTTGCCACAAATGGCGGTGACTACGCTGCAGCTTGCTCGCTTGATTTCTCGAAACCGCCACACTACTATGATACATTTGCACTGAGGGATACAAACGGACAAGCGCATGCGATGTCTACCTGGCCGTATTTCAAGGGCAGTGTTTCAAGGAATGCTCTTGTTAATCACTTGGATGCTGTGCCAGTTGCGAGCTGCTGGAATGGAATTGGTTTGTTTTCTGACGCTTAAAGACGAGTGCTTCCTTACTGACTGCCTCACCAGTCGCCATGCCTGTAGAGCCTTTTACTTCCTCGTCGAAGCTGCGCTTCCGAGGTATCCCGGACTCTTTAGCTGAGCACCACCTCGAAGGCTGCGAATGCTGCCTTATCCACGCCGACAATCCCCTCTCCAAAACTAGAGGTGTATACCTCAATCCTCATGTCCGCGTAGGCTATAACCTACGTGCATACCAAGCCGTGCATCCCGAACAAGGCGCATGGGTGTCGACATGGCAGATCTTCTCCGGTCTCTGGATCAACCGCATAATGCGGTGGGTATCATCACCGTTTGATGCATGGGTAGTCAGGGGACGTGTTGCGGAGTGGGAGAAATTAGGGGGGAGAGAACCGGGCGAGTTTTGCCTCATTAACGAGATGCAGGTTCTTGTTGAAAGAGGTTGGGCACATGTTTAGACACTTGGTGGTGAGAAGGAAAGAAATTAGTGGTAAGATACCCATATTATCAATCTGAAAGATTGTCTATGCTAAGTGTGGAGAGTCCTAGGACGTGCAGAAAGACACTCCTATCCTGAAGAAATGCTCAATGATATTATGCAACATGGTTCCGGCATACTATCTTCCGTATCTGGATGCCGGATCAAATAGCCAGCGACCTTTCTCCCAACATTTGCATCTGTGGTCAATTCCTCTCTTCTCTCAAGTCGTTTCCTTCCCGTTGCCTCATTTGCTGCGATCAACTCGACCAGGCACGCCTTTCAATCACTTTACGAATTGGACTGGGGAGAACCTGGGGTTTGGCGTCCTGGGCTAACTTGCGCTCGAGCAGGTAGGTGGATCAAAGTTGGTCGACCAACTGGAGACAATAGTACCGATCGCACAGCGGTAGACCTTGTCTCTTCCTTCTGGTCTTCGTCTACCTCATCTTCACCCTCACACGGGTCTTCGGTAGTCTCGACTGTGGACGCAACATTAATTGCGGGAGATGAAGCGTTTAAGGAACTCTCAAGGTCTGAAGAGAAGTTCCCTGTAGGAGAGCCACTAGCAAGTGATGTGTGAGGCTGCGAGGCTTCACAAAAGCCGCCAGCTGTAATCGGAAGGGCTCTGCGATGGTTTATGAAAACCCTGGCCGTTGAGGCCGCAGTTCCCATTCTCACGTGAGATTCTTCATCTGAATTATCATTGGGCTCGGAAGAAGATGGCAAAAAGGATCCGGACAGCTTAGCTATTGAGGTCACAGCCTCCATCTCCATGCCTAAATCGTCGTCTGATTCCTCATCGTACTCAGAAGATGAGGATAGGAAGGGCCAGCGAACCGTTTCTGCAGTAAGGGGGGTAGCCTCATGTCGACTTGGGTCAACCGGGGTGCTTAACATATGACTACTAGAGAGGACAGGACCGTTGTTATCAGAATGGCTTGCGGGCGGGATGAGATACCCGTTCTCAACATATCCCAAACTTGGGAAATCGAGGCTCCTTGCTGTGGGGGGGCTATGAGGCTGGCCATGAGACTCACTGTTCATATCCTGATCACGCAATCTAATCAAGTAGTGGCGGTTTGTACGAAGTGGTATCGGCGCAATCAGAGCTTCACTAGGAATGTTTTCCATTGGAAATGCCCGTGTTCCCCAGGTCGATCTGCTGTCAGGAATGTGGCGATCAGGTGATGATGCTCCAGTTAACCAACGAATAAGTCTTGTTATACACCAATGTGGCCAAATGAGATACGATATGACTCTTTCCCACCCTCCTCGTGCTTGTGGGCATTGATCTTGCTGTCGGCCAGCGACGGAAGAATCCCGAGTTCGGTAATGGAAAGGCATTTTGTTGGAGTGGTTTGGCCAGGGCATAGAAGAGAGAAATCTTTGGCAAAAGAGAGTCAATGTTGACGGCGTTCTTATTATACCTACCTAAGTATTTCAACCGGAAAGGAGACAGTGTTCTATTTATTCAATAAAATAGAGGCAGGAGTCTAGATATACCTTGACTTCAGACCTGTTCATTGGTATGAACACAGAACATTATATATTCTTGTTTCCATCGCAATTGCATGATCGTCTAAACATCTGCAACGACGCTGAACAAGAGTATAACCAACGTTTCTTGTTCGGCTGACTCACGCATTCGATAGTTGTTCACCATTAAGACAGAGAAACAGTCTCATGTTTCGAACAATAGCGATCGGGTATATATAGCGACCATGGCGATCTGCTTATTATTCTACAACAATCAACCAACTCCCCTCTCAGGCGCAGACCATCATCAAGCCTACGTCTTTAACCATCAACAGCACCACTTCTACGCCAATACCACAAACTAAAGAACTTCCTTTGCTCATCACTAGCACAATGTGCTTAGACATATACCACGACTACCAGGAGTGCGGGCATCATAAGTATGTCCGAACCTATACTTGCTGGCAAGATCGTTGGGAGATGTTGTGCCCTTGTTTATCCTTCCCTGGGGTGTTCCCCTATAGGAACCAGCATGCCAGCACCGAGAGTCGGCAAGTCCGGCTAGGCATGTGCTCAAATTGTGAGGCATCGAAAAAGAAGAGAGAAAGGAGGGATTATGGGGGGTTTACTGCTCAACAAACCCATGGTGCTGGAGTCTTCCATGGGACGAGACAGGTGCAGACACCACAGCCGACCGGTGGTCATCAGGAGTTGAGGGCACCTGAAAGGGTCCACCAGCCGGCGGCATATAGACAGGAGGCCCGTATGAACATGGCTCCCCAACTGAGGCCTTCGGATCGGGTATACACCAGTCCCCCGGGTGTATGCGCCCCGAACTACTCTCCTGCACCAACTCAAGGTGCAAAACAGGTAAGTTCATCATCTCGTGGCATTGAGCTAACGAGGACAATCTAATGATACTCACACAAACTCCTCCAAGGGCCAACGGTACGTTCGTGGTCAACAAGTAGGAAACAAGGTGATCGTGAATAAGGGCGTTCCTCTCCCACCTCAGGGACAATTCAAGGCGCCAGATCTTAACAGATCTAGGGCTGAACGATATAGTCCTAGAAGAGGTGGTAGTATACGAGATCATATTGATCGATCCCACACCGTTTCTCCCCTCACCGAGGATGAGCGGAATGCTCCCTCTGTGGAGATCCCGTCCCACGACGAGTATGCCGGTTGGGTGTAAGATTGTGTCGATTCTTTGAGATCGTCGCGTTGGCGTTTGCGATGGCATTGGGAACAAGGAATAGACAGGGAGGTTCAAGTTTTATGAGATTTCAATATCTTTGTATTTCCGAGAATTCGGTATCATATTTCGTTCTTCGATTTTTATTGTATAAAATGTAGTAGTACTGGTGTGATTGTGTTATAAGAAATGATTCATGACAAGTTGATACTGGACTAGTTATCCCGCTCATATCTTGATGGAGATTGTACACCTAAGATTTCAGGGCTTTCCCAGCAGAACCTACCGTTTCATCACACGCCTCTAAGACATTCAGCCACACGGGAGCTCGTTATATCGAAAATAGGAACATATCTAAATGGGTCTCGGAGTATGAGGGGGCCTCAGGTAGACAACGCTAGGTGACCTATACCAAGAAAGATCTAGATTGTGTTAAAACTGATCACCACTAGGATCGTAATCAAAGCATGGATCATTGACTCTAGGTACCTAGGTCAATGTCAAATCAAAAGTCCCAATTCGCGGGTGCCTTGATCACGAGCTCAACTGTTAAGCTTGTTGAGAAGTTATCCGAGTTTGCGCCATTCGACCCTGAGACTAGTAGTATCGTCAACAATCATACATGGGTGTCACGATAATAGGTTCATGTCAAAAACGCATTCCGCTATTGGCTGATAGGGAACGGCGCAAATGCATACGTATCCCCTGCGAACCAGAAATACGGATGCCTTGAGAATGGGGTTCACCACTCGAGGCATCCAGATTTGTCCCTGGACACGAGAGGGTCTTTGGTAGGCTGCTTGATAAAATTGATTCTGATTGGCTTATGGCAGGGACGTGTTTAAAAATGGCTGTTAGTATAGGATTTGATAACATCGTACAAGACAAAAAGTTCTTGGAATAAATGAACGAATTGCAACTAGGCCGAAATGAAACACCTGGCTTGCGTGTATATTTACGCATTTGTTTAGTGGTGCGTTCTATTGAAAGGGTGTATGCATATTGCGTACGTGTATCTTGGTTGGTGACAAGATATGTCGATTACGATGCCTTGATGCTGTTGCAAGTTGCAAAAGGACCCTCGCGCATTCGTGCTATCCTTGAAAAGATATGCCAAGGCGCGAGTATCTACAAACGCGTGATTCCTGACGCAGCAGATTCAAAGAGCGGGCGTCAGCGATGGCTCGACTTGTCTTGATCAATTGATGAGAGAATCATTCTGGTGGCGGCTACGGATTCCGGCCGGTAAATCTAGGACGTGCGGCCTCAATCTGGGACGCATGCTTCAGGGCAGAAGCTCTGAAGGGTTAGCAGTGCGATGAAATGCAATGCAACGGCTTGGGAAAAGGTGGGGGTCCACGCTCGTAACCAAAAAGGGAAATCGCCGGCCATTGAGTCAACGGGTGACATGACCTTTGTTTCGACCAACCCCTGCGGAGAGGAGCAGCCCTATGCGTGGAGTAAATGCAGTGTCAGTCCATTGGCTGTGGGCAGATGCGATGGGAAAGGAGGCGTTGGCGGTGGAGAGTCCATAGAGACAGGAACAGGAACAGGAACCAGTTGAAGGAGAATACTTGAAGTTGGTGTGTCTTGTGTTCGATCTAGATGCAGCCAATATGAGGTCTTGGTGATGTTGATAACGCGTGTGAGTCGTCGTGTCTCTCCTCGGTATCCTGTTTCAAGCACTAGGATTTATCTGCTCAAAGGTCCAGCAACGACAATACATTTTTCGGTGAGTCCCGCTACAACACATCCATGGTAGGATCAATCAAAACAATTCAAGATCTCTGAAGTCCCTATCAAATCAATGGCACATAAACTATGCAGAGGGCTGCGCATCGCCATCGATTGCAAGGCACAGCCGTCAAAGAGGGCTGAGGTGGAGGGTGGAAATGCAATGCATCGACTGCAACACCATGCGTCTCGTCAATCAGAGACCACCGGCGAATAGAATAGCGACTAGTTTATGCCACATTAGCGTGGTCAACGCCAATGAGCTACCAGATGAGTGTCCGTAGGATGGCAGAATGGCCACACGATGATCATTCGGAAAAGAGGCAGGCATTGACTCAACACCAAACGAGGGTGTGTAGTCTGCCAGCATAGTAGACGGTTTCTAGGTTTCTGAAAGAACAGTTCTCTTCATTCATAGACTCTTGAAATGTTGATATTGATGTCCATACCAGACAGAAGAATTCCGAGTTCTTTCCGGACTGCTAATGGACCGAAGTCTGACAGTCAACGGTCACGGACCACCCAAAAGATGCGCCCGGTGTCGATCCCTGCAGACTCTCCGCAAGGCGTTTTCCATAGGTTCACAACAGTGACAATGGTTGCCAAACCACCACTATCCGACGTCATCTAGTGAATTATTAGCACAATTCGTAGACAACACCATTTCCTCTTCTCCCTTTGCGTTTGGTTTGTGATCGTGACCCCCCAAAGTTAGGATTGGTTTCGTCTAAAACACGAGCTTATTTGAAACCGAAATGAAAACAAACACCGTCATTTCGCGGAGAAACAGAGGGCCACGACAGTCGATACGCAATGGTATCGTTTCTGGCCCCCAAATTCATCGTCAACTGCTGCTTGGCTGTTCCCTCAGATCAATGACAAGCTTGGAAATTCTTCTGCCTCATGCGCCTCTTGAGACGGACAGACAGAACTGGATGATACGCAGTGAACCACAAAGGTTCTAGGGGTGCGGGAGAGGAGCGGTCGGATCTGGCGGAGTTTGTGGGGATACAGAAGAGGTCGCTTGTCATAGTCGAGGTACTCTAAGTCGTAACTCCGAGTCTGAGACCGTTGAGGCTCTGCGGGGGGGATTGAGGTGAGTCTTGGTGTCCGATGCTCTGGAATTGCGGAGTCAAATGGAGTTAGACTTTCAGCTCTGTTAGTGGTTAGGGTACTACCTCGGGGAGGATGCTATCGCACTCAACCTTGCGCAGGGGGGATCCTGCGCCTCAGCCCGTACCATGCTCGAAGAGGATTTAGCGTTCCAGGATTTTAGGCAACAGTGGCCATGGGCTGAGAGATTGCGGAGCCCATTTCGAGTCGGTTTCTAAGCATAACCTCGCTCGTCCGTAGACACTTCCCATTTCGCCCTCTTCCTCTCTCCAAAGTCCAAACCTCTCTCTCAATCCCACTCTCACCTCACCAATCTCCTCGCTATCCTGAGGCCGCCGCCAGCTTCAGCTTCTCTCCGTTTACATTTAGATTTCACACACCCTGCGGGTCCCGAATTTGTACACCCTTTCGGTCAACCCTCATATACCCTTTTCCGCCCGTCCTCTTCCTTCCTCCAGTTCCACCCGCCTTTCGCATCGCCAACATTCAACGCTGCGTCTTGTTTCATTCATCGACATCTCACGCGTTTGTCACTCGACGTCTCGTCTCGCTTAGCATCTTTCTTCGAGGCCCGCCGAGTCGTCTTACCGCCTGAACAATATATTATTCTGTT